ACAACAAAAGCCGGGTCTGCGGGGGGGGCACACTAGCTGTGCCCACCCCACAGCAGACCAGCGACATGGGGAGCAAAGCTGCAGCGGCGGGGTGCCGCGCCTCTGAGGCTTTGCTCTGGCTGCAGCTTCAGTCCCGGTGCCTGTGGTCTGCTGGCACCAATGCCAATTCAATTAGTTAATGTAAATTTAACATCCCTAATGAGCATGCTAATAAAATGTGTGAATGACACAAAATTGGGGGGTATTACCAATATGGAGGAGAACTGGAATATCATACAAGATTATCTGGACAACTTTATAAACTGGAGTAATAGAAATGGGATGAAATGTAACTGTGCAAAATGTAAGTCATGCATTTAGAGTCTAAACAAGAATTTCTGCAACAAGCTGAGGGCTCTTGAATTGGAAGTGCAGAGCAGGACAGGTCTAGGTGTGTCAGTCGATCACAGAAATAATGGAAGTTATCTCCTTAGTCCTAAAATCAGGCTTCTAAATCCACACTGAAGCACCAAAATAAAATGACCCTCTTTTCATGGGTGCTGTCAGCAAAACTCATTGAGCCACCAGTGTGATGTGGTTGTGAAAAAGTATAGTGCAGTTCTAGGATGCATCAGGCAAGGCGTTTCCAGTAAAGAAGTGTTAGGACACAATAAAAGGCACTGCTGAGACCTCATCTGAAATAGTGTAGGCAGTTCTAGTCTTCTATGTTTAAGAAAGAGGAACTTAAACTGGAGTAGGTTTAGAGAGTGGCAGGTCCGAGGAATGGAAAACTTACATTTTACAAGAGGAGACTCAAAGAGCTTGACTTGTTTACCTAACCAAAAGGTGGGGAGATATGATTGCTGTCTATAGATGTATCAGAGAGCTAAATAGCAGGGAAGGAGAGGAGCTATTTAAGATAAGCATCAGTGTAGACACAAGAACAAATGGATATCAGTTGGCCATTAACAAGTTTAGTTTTGAAATTAGACTAAGGTTTCTAAATATCAGGGGAGTGAAATTCTGGAACAATCTTCCAACAGGAGCAGTGGGAACAAACAACATAATTGGCTTCAAGAATGAGCTTGATAAAGTTTGTGGGGAGGGGAGGAGGAGGAGGAGGAGTATGATGAGACTGCCAGCAGTAAATCATAGAAACATAGGACTGGAAGGGACCTCAGAAGGTCTTTTACTCCAGTCCCCTGCATTCAAGGCATGACTGTCATTTATACCATCTCCTATAGGTACTGTCTAACCTGCACTTAGAAACCTCCAATGACGGAGATTCCAGAACCTCCCTAGGCAGTATCTGCAATGGCTGGTGATGGAACACTAGATGAGTCCGTGGCGTTACTACAGAGTCTTTTCCAGTTGTCTGGCGGCTAGATCTTTCCCACGTGCTCGGAGTCTAACTAATCACTGTATTGAGGGTCAGGCAAGAATTTTCCCCTGGGTCAGATTGGCAGAGACCCTGGAGATTTTCTCCTTCCTTTGCAGAATGGGGCCCATGTCACTTGTAGTTTAAATTAGTGTAAATGGGTTTAAATTAGTGTAAATGGTGGGGCACTGTAGCTTGAAGGCTTTAAATCATGATTTGAGGATTTCAGTAACTCAGCCAGAAGTTAGGGGTCTGCTACTGGAGTGGGTAGGTGACCTGCAATGTGCAGGAGGTCAGACTACATGATCCTTTCAAATTCTCTGAGTCTGTCCCGGAAGACTCAAATGCCTTCTGCTGCTGGTACTAAATCAGCCTAGATTTGACAACTAGATTTGAACTTATTTATTTGACCCCAACTTTTATGGGAATTCGGGGGGAGATTGAAGAACTAGCCAATAACATGGATTCTTCAAAGATATGAGTTTACTAAAATTTACAGTAATTGTAAATAAACTTCTAATACTTTGCCAGTTGTGTATGAGAACTTATTGTAAATGAGGGAAAAAATAACCAAAAATGCACTTAGAACAAAATCCCAAATTTCCCTTCTCATCAAGAACCACATATGAGAATTCACATTGTTCATAGTCAGTACCGATGTGGGTGTTGTGTCATCAGTAGTTCCACTGGGAAACAGGAACAAATTCCATGAATGTTTGCGCTCTAGTCTAGAGAGATGGTACATAACATATCAAACTCAGTCTTTATATAAGTGTCACTAACTCTGTGGCTAAGTATTTGGGAAGGAGCAAGTTGAAGCAGATATTTGCACGTGGGAACTTTCCATAGAGGATGCGTAATCAGTTTTTGGAACCATTCTCTATCAGGATTTTCTGGCGGTAACTATGTCATTCTAACAGTAATTCTTGTTTAGCACTAAAACATTGCCACAAGGTATCACTGAAGCAAAGAGAGAATCAAAAATGGATTAAATGTGTGACTAAAGAGAACATCTATAATCACATTTAATCTGATGTTTACATAAATGAGACATGTAAGCCATCCTGCTTCAGGGCATAAGGCAACACTATTGTCGAAAAAGAAAGAAATTTCATGTTGGAGGAAAAACAGCACTTTTTGCAGCTTCTGAAGCATTTCGTACTGGCTGGTGTTAATTTTTTGTTTGGAGATTCATTGTGATAATCCCCCTTGTTAAAGCTCATATTCTTCTCAATTGATCAGCTGACTACAAGTAAGGTGGTCTCACTGCCAAAAAAAAAGTTTCTACACTTTTAATTACCTTTGCTATATTCCTAACCACTGATGTTTATTCAAAGGCTGTAGGTTTAATACAGTACATTTTGTGTCTGCAGGATTTCTGCCATGGGCAGGTGATGTGGCCACCATTAAGTGCACTTCAGGTAAAAATTACTGAACCTGGAAAATCATGTAAACAAGTATGTCAGGAAAACCAGCTCATCTGTGAGCCATCCTTCTTCCAGCATCTTAACAAAGACAAGGATCTGCTGAAGTAAGTATTGAGGAGTGTGGAAATATAATTGGATACCTTTACATATAATAAATTCTATGGGAAGGGGATAATGCTAATGTAGCTATAATATAGAGTGCTCAAGTTTTCAACTCCTTAAAAGCTGAGCTAAAATTAGTAAAATAAATCTTAAATTTGTTACTTTGCTGCCTTAAAATAGTTTCTAATATAAATGCTAGTTAACAGTAGTAAGCATTCTAATTTAAATACAGTAGGTTAAAATGCAAAGTTTAAGTTTAAAACTGTTGTAACCATTTGAAATCTGAGTATTTCTTCTTTGAGTGCTGGTCCCTGTATGTTTACCACTGGGGATACCACATGTGCTTCATGCACCTGGAGGCAGAGTATTCTCGCAAGCAGATTCCATGAATCCACTCCGCATATTCCCCTGCTCTCCTTGGGTTATGTAGAAAGGATATAAGGGGCAGAGTAGATCTACAGCCTCCTTACTGCTGCATAGCCTGGGTCAGAACTTTCAGTGTCTGGAGCTTCTCTTCTAGTCATTTGATCTTTATTTGAAAGTTTTTTCTTAGTATATAATTTTCTTGTAAATAATTTGAGAGAGGCTTTTTGATCACTTTGTTTCTGTTTATAGGGTAGTTAGCAATATTCCCCTACATCATAGGACAGTTTTGCCCCCTTAATTCTCCAGTTTGGGTGTGCTATGCCTTGCCTTGCTGTGTGAGCTGCCACCCTGCCCACTTACCTCAGCCTGTGGCATGCAAGTCACTCCAAGCCTATACAAGAATGCTGTGTCCAGCCACTCTTGAATTCTATATAGGGCCAACCCCCACATATCCCTACTCCCAGCCTGGCACCCCAGAAATGTACTGTCTTATACTGCTCAGTTACTTAGGAGAAAATCAAGCTCATATAGGCCATCATTTTAACAAAGAAAATGATCCACTAAACAATAATTATTGGCAAATTTTTTAGCCACTTTTTGCCTAGGGTCTGCCTGCCTCCCTTTCTCTGTTTTCACCTACAAATGAGTGTCTTCCTATCTCCTCTTTCTCCTTTGTCATGGATCAGGGAGGCTCTTTAACTGTTTAAATATGGCTCTCGTCTTCTCCCCCTGCCCCACATTCCCTTCCC